TAAGTGAAATAACTGTTTTGTGTGTATGCTCATNTCATGCATTGTGCAGTGTGAGTTCATTCATGATATTGGGATATAGTTCCAATTAAAAATTATGAATCTCAGTATAAAATTACACCTCTTTATTCTGCAATAGAAGGTTGTTATACCACTGCTAGTACGAAGAAGACTATTTCTTTATCTGCAGTCGTGTAGGTTGATGGTATAACAAACACCTTTATACCTTAGTACAATTCAAAGTAAACACAGTAATACCTTCAAGCCTTCATAATCCTTATCCTTATAATACTACTGGGTATCAATGGTGTTACACTATCACAGCTGAATACAGATGATGCTACATACCAGATTCTTCAAGTTCTTGCCAATAACACAGCTAGGCAGCAATCACAAGCCCAAGCACACACTGATATGCTTCAAGGTCTAAATGGTAGTATCAGTCAAGTCTCACAGCAGTTGGGAAGTAAAGTTGATAAGATCAGTGATTTTGGCACCATTTTCGGAAAAAAAACATTGGCTATAGTCTATGGTTTTTTCTGAAATTGGCTCATTTTAAAAATGGCCATAACTCAAATAATTTTATTCAGAATCACCTCAAACTTATTACACAGCAAAAGTACATCAAAAATTGGGTGGAATAGATTTTATAATTATCAAAAATAAAAAAGGCACATTATAATTAAATGTTTGGCAAATACAAAAGCTATTGTTTATATTGTTCATATTTACTAATCATATTATCATACAGTTTGTTAGCTAGTATGGTATTTTCATCTTTGAGTATTTCTAAAATATACTCTTGTACCCCCCCCTCACGGTGTACAGAGTCTCTAATAATGTCAAGTAGTTGATCCATTCTCTGGTCAGTGGTACGTCCACTGTGTTCATCAGTAGCTTTCTTCTTTTGTCTATTATTTATTATATTCTTCTCTAATAACTTCTCTGCTAAGAAGTGAAGATCAATCCCACAGTGTTTGAAAGCTGAAATACATTCTGACATCACTCTATAAGCAACTTCTGGAATAACTGGTGCAATAACTAATAGATGAACATGAAGTTAAATTAAATAAATATTTTAGCTTTACCTAACTCTGCTCGTGCTCTTTCAGTTGATGTGGCAGCAACAACTGATGGAACAACTAATAAGTAATTCAATAAATAATTAGAGTACTTGATGAAGGAGTGGTTGGTAATAAGTCATTCTTTGATACTTCAATATTCCATTGAACAGTAGATGCATCAGATGATATTTTTATACCATCAATAGATAAAGCATGGGACATCTCATCAGCAACAGGTTCAGACTGATCAGGTTTTACTGATACTTGAATGTATGGAGGCTCAGAACTTTTACTAGCACTATAATCAACAACATGACTCTCAGTGATCTATCAGAGAAGATTAAGAATAATTAAAATAACATTGAGATAATATTCAATTCATTATCTCACCACAGGAGGGTTGCATTGAGTGAATCTCCATCCTTTTATATTCTTAGAAGGAAAATCGGTCACTTTTAAATGATGATCTTTGTCCTTGGAAAATGTAAAACGAAAGGTCGTTTGCAATTTACCCAGGAGGGACTGGATGGCAGAATCTCCTTGGAAAAGCTGCAGAAAAGCCAAT